TCTCCCAACTCATGTTTTTCTAAACCATGGAAACAAGGGAATGACATCTAATCGACAATTCTCGATGATGCTCAGGCTGAAGTTTTCACAGCCAGGAGACAAAACATGTTTGATTTTGAAGGTAAATGCTACAACCTCAATTTTGAAAATGTTCCAATCTTTTGTAAAATTATGCAGAATCAATGTATTTTGGTCATTCTCTTTGACTTGTTGTAGTGCGGACAAGATTTCCAAAGTTTTCACTGACCATAACAATGTATTCTGCAAATATATACGATTGGTCATTTATATTTTGATAGCTGCAACACACTCCAAACAAGTTGGTATTCATGCTGCCACATCAACTTTCTTGTTTTAATTACAACATTAGTGTGCTCTGGAATTGAGGGTACGAATCGTTAAGGTTTTACAAGCTAGCTTATTAAATCTGACACGATAAAAGACTTTAGCTGCTCAATGGTCAGCAGTCGTTGATATGACCCCAATTTTCATGATTAGCCACAGATATTTAATTGGATACAGATCAGGGCTGCAGGCGGGCCAGTCTAGCACAGCACATTCACTCTGGCTGATGCAGCACATGCAGAATGAGAATTGATCGAATAACTGTAGACTTTCAATGAAAGACCTCATCTTGAAGACAATGTATAGTTTAAATGGTACAGTTGCACATATGTTTGTCACTCATGCTATTTCCAGTGTCCTGCTTTGCCCTAAACAGACTGAGATTCCTCTAGATTTCTTGAATCATTTCATTATGCAGTTAATGGAAAACCAATTTTTTTTTATGATTAGCCACAGATATTTAATTGGATACAGGTCAGGACTGCAGGCAGGGCAGTCCGGCCAATCCACTCTGGCTGAAGCAGCACATGCAGAATGAGATTTGATAGAATAACTTTAGACTTTCATTGAAAGACATCATTCTGATGACTATATATGATTTAAATGGTACTGCTGTGCATATGCTAGTCACACAGGCTATTTACGGTTTCTAGTTTGCCCTAAACAGACTGAGATTTAGGGTCTACTCACACTATGCTATTCTAACCATGCCCAGGCCCGTTTCCTGGATCATTTGAGAAGTGTGAGTGCTCTGAATCGGGCTCATTTATACGGCATCTGAAAGGTGAATAAAAAAGCTTTTAAATACTGAAAAAAAGTTACAATACATATTACAGATTCACATAAATGTATTCACTAATGTCTTCATGGAACATTACCTTTACTTAATATTTTAATGAGCTTTGTCATAAAATAAAAATCCATCATTTAAACCAGGGGTGCCCAAACGTTGTCTTATAAAGAGCCAAAATCCAAATTTAATTGAAGGCTACGGGGTGAAGTTAAATATACCAAACCGTATTACATTAAATTTGTTTGCTTAATATTTGAAAATAAATAGAAAAGGTTGCTTTACAACAAATGAAATGATAATGCAGTATTTATTTTTTTTACATTTTAACGATAAACTTATAATAGTAAAAACATAAATTGAGCTCAATACTGAATACACTAGTCGAGCTGCTCCTGCTTTTGCCTGGGTTTTCTCACCGGTCTTGTGCATTTGTCCTCTATCTGTCAAGTGTCAGTATTTAAAATTTTGAAAGTCAGATTTATATGAAACATTTTATTTTAGTTTGCTTTTTTATAGCTCCTCAATTAAACATTGAAACAAAAGGGTTTATATTAAATTTAAAATGTTGATCTCTGTCAAAAGCCTACGCCCCAATCTACCCATCATTCTCTCTCATTTGAGATGCGATGGCGGGCCAAACCAAAGGGTACCATGGGCCAAATTTGTCCAGCGGGCCCAGCTTTAGACACCTCTGATTCAGACACTACAATGTATTTTCCTCTTATTCTAAAAAACGGACGCATGCAACATAAGAATTACAAAGCATTTTGTGATCCAGGGTCACATATTTACAAATTCCTTGTACGTGAATGTGTGAAAACACTAGAAATATTTCCATTGTGTTTTGGTCAATTGAAAAACAAGATAATTAACAAATAGTTCTGAGTCCTGATTTGTAATGTATTAAAAAAAAAGCTCGACTTTTTGTTCTGAATTGAGGTTGTAGAATCTATATAGATAATTTGACTGTACACAAAAAGAAAATGCTATGCAGACAAACAAAGGAACTGATTTAAGACTGCATTATCCCCTCCATCCTCTATAACAGGGGCCATTACAAACTTAAGGTACAGTAGAGTCTAACACACATGATCACATTCATAGTGGATATTTTTTTTAATGAAAATGTAAAGTAGACAGTACTATAATGATAGAAGAGAATGAATGAAAGGCTTGATTCTTCCAAATATGAACACCCTTATCTCTTTCTTGTGTCCTCGTTCTATTCATCTATGATCCCTCCCAGTCCCTCTTTCTCTCTGTCTCCCCCCACCTGCACTCAGAGCAGTCTGTGAGTCAGCATACAACACACACTCATACACACACTGGTCAGTCCGTTTCCATGGTGACGGTGCAAGCTGAGGGCAAAATCGACAGCTTTTAAGAAGCGCAGACGCTGCTAGAATTTAAATGGTCGGCAGCGGTAGGAAAGGCTGCATGAGTGTGTGTCTTTTTTTGGGCCCAGATTAGCTGCCGGCATACAAGGAGCCAATCGAATAGTACAAAAAAAAAAAAAAAAACGTAACAAGAGCTTTGACAACTATCCCTTGATCCTATTCCTCGAATCTAATGAATGGACCAGGAAAAAATAGGATTGGATTGATAGGACCTGTACAATACAACTCACTTTCCTCTAGGGTCACTGGGACATAGTAAACTAGCACTGCTTAAATCCTTTCAAAACATGATTTGGTTCCTGTGATGTGCGGCATGGATGAGAGAAGCAAAAACACATATGAAACACAAAGATGAATGCATTTGTAATGCTAAATGACTCAGTGTTTGGCTCCGTCCCAAAGGAGCAAAGGTGTGAATGTGGTATATTAATTGTATTAACACATTTATCTCATAGGACTGACATTTTGGCATTTTGTGAATGCTATAAAAGTAAGCGTCCTGAAAAGAAAAGAGAAGAAAATCTATCTATTTGTCGAGCTATCGACTCCACCTTGACCTGTGCTCAATGGAACTGACAAAAGTTATTATTATCATTTGTAAAAGTAGACATTTTCATGGTGGCCGTCGATAAATGTGGATAAAATGTGGTATTTTCAGAAGGGCAATGTCATAAATAAATATGGGAAAATGGAAATTAAATACTGTACCTTAAGAATTCATGTCCCCTGATGAGTTATTTCAATGGTTCTGCTTAACATTAAGATCACAATGTGACTCCTTCACAAAAGTTTTATTGAAAGCCAACTTGCTTTGCTTGTAAAAAATACAAAATGCAATCCAAACATAAACAAAAGAACACAGAACACATGACAGAAATTAAACAGAAGTGGGGATGTCTGCAGCTTTAAACAGTTCCACAGAGAACGCAAATAGTCATGTTATATTCAACTTGTATGCATTTGCTGCATTAATATATAAACTAGCCGCTACTGCAGGACATCCTTCAAACATTGCATCTTTCCATATTAACATCACAAGTGAATATTGCTTTAAATATGAACAAACGTCTTCCTTGCAACCAGGCCTCAACTGTACAAAAACGCCACTTTCAAAGCGGCTGGTTAGTCCTAAACTGTACAAATTTTGGTATCAAAAATGTTAAGAACGTATTAAGTAAAACTTTTTTTCTATATAAAGCTATTTAAGATGTTCATCGCCGAGAACAAAAACAGCATTTGGGATGAACACACACAACAGCACAAATAACTGATTATTAACATTCACAATATACAACTTGCATAACAAAACAAAAACTCTCCAGTGATTGTCTTTAAAGGTCTGCTAATAAAGTCAGAGATAAACTGTACTAATTTTTGGTTTTCTTGTTCAGTACTGGAGCACAAAAAAAAAAAAAAAAAAAAAAAGTATTATCAAGTTTTAATGTCAAGTAGCTGTCTGACATTATTCACAGCCTGGCAGAAAATCCTGCGTTTAATAATTCAAAACTGTTCGATGGCACACTTAGACATCGGTAGCTGATTATGAATTTAAATGAAGTCATTTCACTTATGAACATAACAAAAAAAAGAAGGCTCTCCTTGCATGTGTAATCAATAAAGATAAAAAACGAACAGGGAAATTACCTGCCATTAATCTGAATAAATAATTCCCTTGATCTTGGACTAAACAAGTTGCAAATAATTAAAGACATTTTGAAAGGCCTGTCAAAATATGCCATGGTAATTTTTCGAATGCGTTCACCTTACTCGACTGGCCTCGCTGTGTGTTTTATTCTATTCAGCATTTATTCTGTTCTTTTTTTGTTTTTGTATGCAAAAAAATTTTAAGCTTTCTAGGAAAAATTCACACATTAATAGCCTGAAGCTTGCCTAACAGAAGATAACAAAACAATGGCAGGATGATTTGTCTTTTAGAGCAAAACTCAAAGTATAAGGCACATCTCTCTGGTCGTAAGGTTATTATCACACACACATTGACTTTAAAATACTCCTAAAGCAGTTCTGTTCATCTTTTAAGTGGCAGGAAAAAACACTGTTAAACTGAAAACGGCAAACAGAAATAATAAAATAAAATAAAATAAAATAGGACAGTGTGATGTTGTCTCCTTCATTTAAATCAGTGATGTGTTATGTTTCCTTCAGAGCATACTACAGAACTGAAAGCAAAACAAAAGGTTGACAAATAAAACAATCAAGTGACGTGCATGCTTTGTGATCAGTGCAGCTTTGGTTTGACATTCATTCAGTTCCAGCCCCTAATACATGTCATCAGTCCACACCACGTTGCTGTGATACCCGTTGCTTTGATACCCTGTGCTGTGGTACCTAGGGCTGTAGTAGCCTGAGCTCTGGTACCCTGAGCTTTGGTACCCTGAGCTGGGGTACCCTGAGCTGTGGTACCCTGGGCTGTGGTACCCTGCCATGCTTTCGAAGTCGTCTCCTACCTGTTTGGTGCTATATTTCGAAGAGTTGGCCTTGTAGCTGTAATCCGAATACTGGTCTGAGCCCGTTGAGTTGTTGTCCCCGGTTCCTACAAAGGTGTTGGTGGCTGGCAGGTCCTGCACTGCCTGGTGTTTCTTTGAGGCAGATGGTGATTGAGGTTGGAGCTGAATGGATGGCAGAGGAGAATTAGACCGATAGTGTCGCCCTAGGTCTGGGCTCCCGGGAGGGTAGTTGAGTGGCAGGTGAATCCTAGGGCTATCGTTGACATTTTCATTCATGAGATTGAACTTTAGGCCTTTCTGAAGAGTTCCCCCCTCATCCTCCTCAGAAGGGTTGGCAGGCTTTGGCGCTTTACTTTTCTTTGCCTTTTTGTTCTTGTTGCTCTTAGGTCCTGGTTTGGGGGCATATAGGTCTTTGGTCTCTTTTTTGCCTGCCTGGTAGCCACTTTTGTTCTCCTTCAGTACAAGATGCCTGATGATCATGGCCACCACAATGATGAGAATGACCACAGAAAAGCCACCCAAGACTGCAAAGAGAATGTTACTGTGTGGGTCTCGAGAATAATCTGGATCACCTGCAATGTCCATTTCAAGTGGTGTATAAAGACTGTGACCAACAAGTCCTTCAACGTGAGAAACATTGCCAATGGTCTCATTGACATAGATGTGTACCAGTGCAGTCGTTTGGCGTGGTGGCGTGCCTTTGTCCTTAACTTTTACAACCAGTCGGTGGAGACCAATGTGTTTGGGTGTGAACTCTTTAGCCAACGTAATCTCACCTTCCGAGGAGATGCGGAACAAGCCATGAGGGTTACCCCCCACAATATTGAAGTCCAGCTCAGAATTTAAACCAATGTCAATGTCTTCTGCCTCAACGCTTTCTACGTGGGTTTCTGGGCTGGTGCGGGGATCCAAGAACTTGTATGAGGAGTTTGCGGGTTTGGTTACATAGGGAGCATTGTCGTTCTCATCAAGAACATTAATAGTAATGCCAACGTAGGAGGAGCGTGGTGGGTCACCTCCATCAACAGCTTTCAATCGGAAACTGTAGGTGCTCTCCTTTTCCCTGTCAAAGGAAATAGTCGAGAGGATGGTGTACGTTCCATTTTGAATCATAAACTTTCCATTGTCTGGTTCTACAGAAAGTTGAACACGAGCATTTTCACCTTCATCGTGATCATTGACTGTTACCATTCCAACAGGACTAAGTGGTGGCATGTTCTCTTGGACTGAAAAACTATAACCATTCAGCATAAATTTAGGGTCATTGTCATTCCTGTCAAGCACCTTAACAACAACAGTGGCAGTTCCTCTTAGGCTTGGTACACCTTTATCAGCTGCTGCGACCAGAAATTGATAGTGATCTAATTGTTCACGGTCCAACTGGCTCATGACACGCACTTCTCCTGTATTAGGGTTAATTTCAAAGAGCCCCTCAGGAACTGATCCACCAGTGATGCTGTATGTCAACTCTGCATTAGTCCCACTGTCGGCGTCTGTGGCTACCACATCCAGAACCTTGTCACCTGGCTGGTTCTCCTCAAAAAATTCTACCTCATACAAAGTAGGCGAGAACACTGGGGCATTGTCATTCATGTCTGTCACTTGCACCTTCAGAGAATTAGTGCTGGATAGTGCAGGGTTGCCAGAGTCCACTGCTACAATTTCAATCCTATACTCTTTGATCCGTTCATAGTCCAGTAGCGTGGTCGTCTGGAGGAAGTACTTCCTTTTGCGGTCATTGCCTGTTTCACTTGCTGAGCGTAGCTGGAACGGGACATCCCCAGCAACCACACAGGTAACAACTGCATTTTCGCCCTCATCACGATCTGATACCTCCACCAAAGCCACAGCTGTGCCAACAGGCATGTCCTCTGATATGTTAGCGACACCATCTTCATGCGTTACAAGGCCAATGCCTCGGATTCTAATGGAGGGTGCGTTGTCATTCTGATCTTTCACTGTGATAGTCACAAGGGCTTTGGAGCTCTTTGACTGAGGACCGTTGTCTTTAGCTTGGACGTAGAACTTGAGAATGCTGATTTCTTCACGATCTACTGAGCCTTTGACAAAAATGATGCCTGTGTTGCGGTCAATGCTTAGAAGTCTCATCACTGGTGATGATGGCTGATGGAGGCTGTAGGTAACCTCACCATTGGGTCCCATGTCAGAGTCATTGGCCTTCACCTAAAACAACAAAATTCAAAATTAAACTAGGCAAAGCACAAACACATCATGACAAAAAAGGTTCCATAAAGTTAATTAACAAACTATATAAGTCACAGGTTTACACATCAATGGCCACACATGGTTTAAATTATTATTATGTAGCACTAGAAATTGACTATTATTAATGCAAGCAATAATATATATGCATGTGAAAAAATATATGCTTTATAAACTGAAAAAAGACCTAAATGCACTAGTTTGTACTAACTCTTATACTTGCTGAATATTGCAAGAATTTAAAACAGTACATTTCATTTGATTGCAAAAAATGGCATTCACCTTAACAGCATAACATATAATGTATTATTATTCAATATATGATACAACGAACATTGACTCTGAAGAGTTAAATATGATTAGGTTGTCTAGTATGCAAGTCAAGTTGTGCAAAATTATCGGTAGTTTGCTAGATTAAGTCAAATTGAGACATCACTTAAGTTACTCAGTCTTGGCACAGATTTCTAGAATTCTGGTCTATCGTGAGCCAGGGAACAATTTTAAACAGCTCTAAATCGAAGTGCAGCTTGATTAAAGCTTTCAAACAATCAAGATTCCCTTGTTCCTGCAACATCCTCTCCTCTTTTCGTCCTTGGCTGTGTATGAAACACGCATGGTGTTTCAGCCCATGAATTACAGAGAGAAGCCTTAATCTGAGGCAGTCATAAGATTATTCATGGTGCTTAAGTTATTATTGCTCTATATGAGTCACTCCATTTCATCCGCCATGCAAACTGGGAATTCATTTCATTTAATGTATTTGAAGAGCATTTCTCTGAACAAGCTGAAACACTCCATCAACACTTACAACCCTCTGAAATCATAAAATTAAGCTGTTTTAATACCACTACTGCTTATTTACTTCGGCTTCAAAGGATGCTTATGAGGACTGAGAGGGAAATAAAGTCTTCTGACATGCTCTTTGAATACAACTTGGTTGCATGGATTAATTGTTGACTGAAAGATTAACAGTCATTAAAACATTTCTTCTTTTTTTTTTTTTTGCCTGGACACTCGTGTCAGATTGATCTTGGAAAGCTTCCAGCCTTCGCAGCCATCCTAATCATAGCAGCGATTTCGTTTCCACAACAATTCAACATGTAATTCTCACCGCCAGTCAATACCTCTCTCCTGTTTGTAAAGCTTGTGTTTAAAGGGACCATGAGGGATCAATCGATTGCCCGTGAAAATATGATTTGGCTTTCCCATTTCTTCCGCTTCAACCCTGTTGTGTGGGAACCGAGGCTAAAGCCCATTGGGATAACAGAGACTTCCATTTACAACAGCTTGTCAAGCTTTGTACATGGGGCTTGAGTGCACTTCTATTGCCAGGCTGTCAAATCAGCTCCACTATTACTTAACGTCCAATCTGAAGGTTTAGCATAATGCATACTTGCTTACAGATGTTTTAAGCTTATAGGAGAGGAAAATGTACGTTTATTCCTCTATATTAAAGCAAATATTTATATTCACAGTCATTAAGATAATTTAAATGTGTAATGGAAATCAAATATACTGAAAAAAGCACTTACTTGAAGGACAGAATGACCCACTGGGCTGTTTTCTGGCAGCTCACCCTCGTAGTGTGACCTCTCAAACTTGGGGACATTGTCATTAGCATCTGTTATGGTGATCCTGAGGAGGGCGCTACTCTGGCGGGGTGGAGAGCCGCCGTCAACCACTTTTATATTGAGGTCGTATGAATCTCGCAGTTCTCTATCCAGGTTACCCAATACAATGAGTTGCGGTAATTTCTCGTCAGAGTCTTGTGCCACCTGCAGGCTAAAAAGGTTGGTAGCTTCAGGGCCGGTGGTTAGCGCATAATCAGCAATGCCATTGCTTCCAGAATCCCTGTCCGTGGCTACAGGAATTGCAAAAAGTGCACCCACGTGAGTGTTTTCTGGGATCGACAATGTCAAGACGGGTGAGGAGAATTGTGGAGTGTTGTCGTTCTCATCCAAGATCTCAATGCGGCCTTCAATAAGCCGAGGTCCTGTGCCTTTCATCAGGTCTGTAATAGACACCTCAAATTCTAGGAAACAAGGATCGCCCTCGAAAAGGTTGCGACAGTCTTTAAGAGACTCCCGATCGATAGAGTTCTCCGTGGTGTAGATATCCCCGGTTTTGCCATCCACGCGGAGGTAAGGAGCACCAACCTCCAGCTTGTAAAGGTGACCTGTGTCTGGCAGGCCCTGGTCAGATGCCAAGCTGCCAATCAGGGTGTTGGGCGGCTGCTCCTCGGTCACCTGGTAGAGAATGGTGTTGACTACATTTGCAGAGCAGCAGAGGAGAAGCAAAATCCACACTAGCATGGCACTCCACCGTGACCACATCGCATTGGCACTCTGGCACATCGTCAGTCTGTTGCTGCAAAAGATCAAGCAAACAAACAAATGCGATTAGAGAAACATTCATTCCTCAGACACAATCCTTCAAAGTCTCTGACAGTGCCAAGAAGCCCGTAAACGATGGCAGCCACAGAGTTTTATGGTACTGATTCCCTGGGATTTATGATTGATCGCCCCTTCATGTGTTGTAAACCTCTCCTTTTTAGAGGCAGTAAATGTGTCACAAACAGTTACTTGTGTTTGACCTTCATTCTGCAAACTTCATGTCATGTCTAATTCATAAAGACAACATATGTCAGTGTTCCTAAGAGATGCATTGGCTGGCTGACCCTAAGAGAGGAGGAAGATAGCAGACAACTGATGCCCATTGAAATGATATTTGTTTTTGCTCTACTTGATCTACCGTTTCCAAGCTATTGATAAACTGTCTTGATGTTCATTTTCAGAATCGTGCCTGGGGTCAGCAAAAGGGTAAAATCCATCAAAATCAGCCTAAATGTTTGTTTTTCTTTTCTCCATAACTGTTTGCAGTTTTTTTTTTTTTATTTATTTAAAAGAAACTATATTTAAAATCCCAGTGAATTTTTTTTAAAAGTGTATTAAAATTAAAATGTATTTATTTATCCCATTCTAATGTTTCTCATAACAAGTCAGACAAAATGGGACCACAGAAAAAAAGAGTGAAATATAAACCAAAAGCATGGTTTCTTAAAAGCAGTTTCACGTGTGAATCTTCCCTTTCCTGTTTGACTCTTTAGGTTATTGAACACATGGTGGAAGAGTATGGTTTTCTAATCTTCCAATGGCCACTTCAGCTGATAGCTATTCGCAGCAAATGGCTCCCAATTTGTGGAAACATCACACTGCCACAGGGAGTGTAATAGACAGGGCTATAGAGGGTGTCTTGACAACAGCCCCCTCCTGCCACTTCACCAAATATTAACAGCCTCAGCATGAGGTACTGTGAAAGAACATTAAAAAAAACCCCAATCAAATAAATAAATAAATCTGATTTCGTTTAATCCCTCACGTTTAAGGTCATGTTACTTTGATGTTTACCGCTGTGGTAATTGCAGACCCCTCTAACATATGTGGAATGTTATCCCACCATGCTCCCCATGGCTAATGAGGCACGGCTCTAGATTACTGTCCAGAGGAGACAGACACCTCGACTCGACCCAGTGGTGAACCAATGGGGGGTGTGTGAGTGTTGCCACTAGTTACATTCTGCCTGTGAATCCCAAACATTAAAGATCAAGAAATTTAAATATAACCTTACATATTATTAGGGGAAAAATACTGATAAAATAAATAGACAGACAACTGACAGTAAGCAAAATGAAGTAGCCATTTGGTGACTAATAGGAAGTGGGATCTTCTACACTCTCATCAGTATTGATTGGTGGTAGTAGTTTAGTGCATGTACCATTCAATATTCTTCCATTAGCAAACGCATGACATAGTGCGCCTCTCACAAACACATTACAAAATAAATAAATAAATAAATGTGGTTAGAGGGAAAAAAAAGGCTAACTTTATTGTTACAAATGTGTAATCTCACACACTCACCTATACATGGAAAAACTGTTTTAATTTAGACAAATTAGACACCAGCGAATATGAATCCAGTCACACAACTGCAGCCACAAGGCACTGATGCTGTAGGGAGAACAATGCACTAATGAGGCTGAAATGAAGGGTGGGATGTGTGACCCTGATCACACGTGTGATGAGAACTTGACTCGTTTCTTACTAATTTCGCAGTCTAATTCTGAATCTGTCGAGACAGATGACTATGGCACACTTTTCATGCGGCTAATTAAACAGTGCAGAATGCAAAAGGGGTTGGAGAGGTGAAAAATGCCTCAACTCTAAAGCAGCGCACCCCTCATTGGGATCTCGAACAACCATCTCATAGAGAAGGCATTTCACAGAGATGCGTCGGCTCTCAGATGAAGGTGTGTGTTGAATTTTGTACCATGTGTTGATAAAAAAGGTCAAAGTGAAAAAGCTAAATGGAAACCTCAAATGAATGGGGTAAAGGATTAACCGGGTTAGCTAACAAGCTATTTGTTTAGACAAAAAAAACAAACAAAAAAAAAGATCAAGATATGAACCAATCCGAAACATCCCATCTTTATCATGCGTTAGAAAAGTCAACAAGTCTCAAGAACATTCTCGCAACATGAAAAGCGTGTGAATCTGTTTGTTGCGATGAAGGGTTTAAGAAGCTCCCACGACATTCACTCTCTCAAGGGCCCAGCGTAAAGAGTTTGTGTTAAAGGGTCACTGTACACTGGGAACCCAAATGTGGGCTGTGGACATCCTTTCCCACACTCTTCTGTGAATGTGCGTGTGCGCCCATACGTATGCACCGTATGTCAGTGGGTGTGTAAAACTTACACACAAGAACTAAAAACAACCACAGCAAAGGAATGTCAGTATGTGTTTGCGAGCAGATACTCGGGCAAATGGAAAATCTCAGGCAAAAAAAAAAACATGAAGGTCACAAGAGCAAGAAACACAACCAAATGTGTTTGAGTATATGAAAAATAAGGGGGGCAAAAGCTTGAGCTTGTGGTGAAGAACTCTCCTTTGAAATGGAAATGTGTAAGTGCATATGAGTGGCGTGCCTTAACGACAGCAACATTTACAAGACACAGGAGGCCTTAACAGAGTCAAATCAAGCACTGCTACCAAGCAGACAGATTTCCTTTCAGTTGTAGAGAGTTAGCACTTAGCCTTCACACAGGTACACAATAAGCCCAGCCATTACAATGACAATGGGCCGTCGGTGGGGCTTTTCTTCACCTCCGAGCTTTGATCGTCATCATTACATGGTCAGAAAGGCGGTTTATGACAGGCCCTAAATCAACACACACCGTCCACCTCTCTAATAATGTCTTCAAATACAGCATGGTCGAGCCACAGCTAAGATCTCCTCACAGGGAGACAGGCGTCGCCAGAGTGCTGTATTTATGACTACTGTCATAATCCTGAGAGAATTTATGCTCAGCTCTCGGGCTGTGTAGCCTAATTCATCTCGTACTGCTGTGTATAAGCTGGATGTCATTAATACAATCAATAGCTGTGAGCGAAGGGGAAGGTTTGAATCGCCTTTCCCCCTGTGGAATCTCCCCATCGGTTCTAGCGAATTATTCACAGTACATTTGGCCAGAACTTTCGCGCCAGCCTTTGGGGGAATATGGTTCCCCTCTCATTTCCTGTCCGCAAAAAACACATTATGTTCATTTCACACCTGATCTCTTGTAACAGCACCTCCTACATCTCTCTGTCTTTCTCTTTCATGAGCACACCATCTTTTTGTACCCCCCCATGCCCTCTCAGAGATGCGCTCATATATATACTGTCGAGAAGGCCATTGTGTTGTTGCGCAGGGGGAGGTTAACAGATTTAACGGGCTAATTACTATTCTAAAGCCTCCCCCGCTGACATGCTTTAAAATTGCTGTATGATTTTCTCTCTCCCTCACTTTTACCGTCTCGCTCTCCTTCTTTCTCCTTTAGAGACTTGTAACGAGGAATTCATCATTGTACCAATGCTCACCATTTCTCTGCCAGCAAAAAAAAACCCATGGGAATATGAGGATGGCATAACTCTGCCAAGACACCCCCCCCAGGTGGCATCCAGCTCAGCGTGAAACTACAAGGTGATTCTAGGGAAAATAAAGCCATTAAAGCATTTACGTAACCGTCATGGCAGGAGTCAGATTCCTGGACGAGGCACAGTGGTGCCACTGCGTCATGGTAACACATCGAGTCAATGATTGTTCTAACCCCTCCCCATCACGGTTTCAATGTGATAATTAAAGAATTAAATTAAAGCACTGACATTTATGAGGGTTCAGGAGTCAGCTCTTGTCTGAAGCTAGGAGAATGATTGACTCAGAAGCAACTGTGAGAACAGCATCTGTCCAAGGTTAATGGTTAACTCATCCGGCTCAACTGACATTTTAGTACGCACCTGAAGTTTCTTTGAAAAAAATACATCAGAAGAATTATTTGCTTGGTACTACACAAGATGAGTCCATAGTCTCACTGAGTAATGTTGCCAATTAATCAGCAAGGAAATAAAAAGAGTGTGTACTGACCTCGTGAAAATAAAACATTCTTATTCACTCTGAGTCAACTATCTGAGACCAGATAAATGAGCTAAAATAAAATACAATCACAGGCGACGAACGCTAACCAGCCTCATCTGAAATATTCAAGACTGACCAGCACTCACAGCTACTGACTTGAGCTCACATGAGCTTTTGTCCTCGGCTGCAGCCATCCAAGCTCTATGGGCCACCAGCTCCACAACGCTCAGTGACCCGTTCAGGATGGGTGGTCCAAGTCCCCCACCCCTCCCCAGCCAAGTGCGAGGCACAGAGGATTACTTTAATTATTTCATTCAGCCATTGTGGGGCCAGATTAGTCTGCGCCCGCTTTCAGACGAGATGAACTGCTGCCCCGCTGCTGTCTACCAGGCTGTTACACAGAGAGAGCTGGCCAGTCACAAGGCTGGCACACAAACTCTCACACGCCATTACACACGGCTAAACACACACACATACACACTGATAGAAAAAAAAAGAGAGGACTGCTGTTAATATCATGGGTTAAAAAGACAACATTGAAATGGATCAAGGGAAATAGCCACTGTTAAAGTGGCAGGATAATGAAAGGCAGTAAATCTCAATACTAGGTGATTATTTTTACTGGGTACGCTTGTTATATGTTTTGACAAAGACACATACATGAAGAATATAATAAGATAATTCAATTTTCTATTGAACAACATGAAACAATCGCTAAATTTTAGGTCTCACCATCGCAAGGGGCACATTATTGGCTTCTTAACTACAACAGTGTGAAGCTGTCAATTTTACATATCATTTCTAATAAGACCAATTATAGCATTTACAACAGGGCACTTGGAAGTGACATATATAGTTAAAAGTTAATTTAAGCACAAAGAAAACACAAGTGTGTGGAAACTTTGTGCTCATGTAAAGAGTCTAGTTTTCTATTATTTCAATGGGCTCTTAAACTCAATGTGTCTGTGTTTACGCCCCTTAGATTTACAAAGCGTGAAAGCCCGAAACGTGATAATTATTCACTGTCTCAACGTAGAATATTTACAGAAGGCTAAGTTGAAGTTGACTGAGCACACACGTCAAAAAATAAACTAAGTTTAGCAAAACAGAAATGTTGTCAGGTAGCATATGGTATAATAGAACGATACTATAGCCAAACAAAACAATACTATTTCGGATTTGTCAGCGTACCGTCCGAAGCCTCAGCGGTGTGCTGTTGCTATGGTTTCCTCTTCAGACAAGCGCGATTTCCGTTTGTGAACGACTGTTTACCAAGTTAAAACACGAGCCCTGACCAACTTACAACTTTTGTGCTAAGTAAAATTAGTTCATAAGTACAAGGAAAACACGTGGGAAGACCACAAGATTTTGTTTTCGACTTCGTTTAAGACTACAAGGCTTTATTATGGACCCAGCGTCCTATCCCATAATTCAAATCGAATCCACCTATAACCGTCCGCGTGAAGTGAGGAATATAGTTTCAGTGCATTGAAGAAACGAAGCAGTGAAAAAAACAAACAGAAATAACCTGTTTATAAGATCCGCAGATCAATAATCTACTGGAACAGCACTAGAATCTCACCCAAGTGCCGGAGAGCGCTTGTGCTGATGCCTGCAGAACACGATCTCGGGCAGAGAGGAAGGGAAATGACTTTTACCTGCGGATGAATGCGGTCCGAGTTTGACCAGATCATTTGCAAGCCATTCGGTACAAGTTTACATCCGCCTGAAAGCCTCGCCACAGAAAGAATCGAGATGTCCGATCGCAGATGGGCGGAATGAAGCCCCAAGGCTGCCAGTGTTTTCACACCTGTCTCTTTCAGACGGACCAGACAAACAGGTTTGAAAAGCAACCCGATGACGGGAGCGGCCAGAAAGACCGGATTCCGCTGTTATGACAGGCAATGCTTTTGATTGAGTGAGTTCCGAGCAAGGAAATTAGTGCGTTCTGCGAAATGTGACTTGTCGGCATTCTGCGGGTAAAATTAACCGCAGCATTTTGAAAATAGCGCACTCAGATGGAGAAGATATGCGCAAAAAACGAAAGCAACAGGTGTTGTTGGGGCAAGCAGCAACCAAATAAGGTATCAGGTTAAGGTTGCACTCATAAAATCTCTCAAAAAGCCAATAAACACTATTTATTCGTTCTAACTAATAAGCACTTCTTATACGCCCTCACAATTTTATTCAAATAAGGGCAGTTTTTGTGTGAGGGTTTCAGGTCAGTGGTTTATTCATCGTTAATGGACAGACGTTCTCGAGGGCACGAGAAAGAGTTTTGAAGATCACATATAGAGAGAGAGGAATCGATTAAAATCCGCGAAGCTCCACTGACCAGCACTTGAGCTTGATGAAGATGCTTCATGTGGATCTATGGGTCAAGGGTTTATTTTCTATAGGCTATGTGGAAAAATAAGAGCAAGCGTATATTGACCACTCGAGCGCTCGGTTTCTTTTAGAAAAATCAATAGCAGTAGTGTAGGGAAAACATGTCACATGCGAGCTAATCAGCTCTGAGGACAATCGGGGGCGATGTTAACTTGAGATATCGATAAATTCGGGCTACTCAGAGTGAGGCGTGCAGCGCTTAGTTATTTGCTCCGTGAAGAGGAACAAACGAACAATCAAATAAGCACACCACATCGTTACAGTACATCGAGTGGTGATATATTTCCACCAGTTTTGATTTATACAGATGCACTGTAACACATTTCTACAATGAAAAGTCAATCTTAATAGTTCCTCATTGCATGTTATGGACATGCAAAATTGTAAATATAAAACAATCTCATTATACCTTAGCGGATAGTTGCTCCTCTTAGTCTTGACTGATAGAGTCGGTCTGAAAGCCGCTTTCCTTTTCCACACTACAAATAAAGCGCTTGGGTATCCAAAATTCAGCACCACCGCAATCCTGTCGATACAAAAAAGCACCCTTTTCCGCTGTGAGCTCTCTTGTTTCTCATGAAAAATCCTCTTTTTAATACGAAGGGTACGCTAATATAGTCGCAAAAAGTGTCACGTCAGAAAATAAGAGCGCGCAACTTGGGTTACGCACATCAGAGAGATGTGTCCTCTCCTTGCGCACGGAAGGAAACCCCGAACCAGCGCTACTCCGGACCGGACTCACAGCATCCCGAAACCTCCAATTCCACACGACAACATCCTCCAAAACTTCAGCCTTCAGTCCACAACTGTCTGTGCGTAAAAGTGAAAACAGAAAAATCTTCCAAGGCTATGTCCGATAGTGTCCAGTGCGCGTGCTCTCATCGTCAGTTCAGCATTGAGAGTTACCGAGGACGCCGGGGCTCGCGCTCTTGCCGCAGCTCACCGCGCGCGTCTATACTGTGGAAAGCCTATGTGAGAGTGAAGTGATTTCCGACCGATTGCGCTCTCGCTCTCCCCCTCTCTCGCTCGCTCAGTCCCTCACACAAGAACATCATTTTGAATCGTCGAGGGCGGAGCTTTGAGACGTGCTCGTGTGGACTCCATACAACAAAACCTCTTTCGTATTTACCCAAACATTAACAAGTGCTAGTGTTGCCATATCCGCCTATTATAAGCGACAAGGGATGATTTGTCATAAAAAAGGCGTATAAAAATGTGCTTTCGTAGCTAATGCATTGGAGGCTCCAGAACAGAGTAGCTTTTAGTTTAAAGTGAGACCACTTGACAAAATTCTACATTTACACGTGGAATTACGCACACTGCCTCTATAAGCAAATGAGTATGATGTGCAAAAAACAGGTGAGCAACACCTAAATGACGGCTGTTTTTAGGTCATAATAAAGAAAGCAATTCTGAATGCTTAATTTGTACTTGTTTAGCAACACACAAAAACAATTAATGTCATGTAGACAATGTTAGCAGTACGCAGAGGATAACTTTGAGCTTGCCAATGTTTGACCAATATCAGAGATATTGAAAAATGAATTGGACTGGATTGCATCCACAGTGTAAATTGTTAAAAGTCATAAACTCTGCATATAGACCTATTACTAAATAACGTGTTAATGTAATGCGATAACCAGAAGGAATTGGGTTTTAGAAAAACAATGTTAAAAGCACAATGATCTCTTATAAAGTTCTGATTCTGTCAAAATAAACAGTTGGTATAGTTTTACAGCTATCAGAACATAAAAAAAACCTAGCAGCTCTTAGAATGTTCTTTTTTTTTGGTGTTATCTAGCATTTTTACGTAAATTGCACGAGCTTATTTAACAATTTAACTAAAAAAAAAAAAAAAAATCAGAAACAAGCAAACTGCTTAGATACACCAAAATCACACCAGGTGTAAACAGGAACGCCCTCTTCAGACCAAAATGCATTTTAATACCAGGTGAATAATAAACAGGGCCTCGGAAAGTAGTTCTGTGTGCTATGTATTAAATAGTAGCTACGTGTTTGGCAACAGCCAATGTAAATTATGTTTATGGCTGTTGCTGGTATACACTAGGTCAAAGAACATAGGGGTCAAAGAACACTGGAAACTTGCTGATTGCAGTGTGCAGTGTATTTATACTACACACACAATGTGCTTCATCAACAGTCAGGCGAAGTTCTAACATCGGTGAACCCGAGGGATTTATCTACTGAGTTATATGTATGATTGACTATGCAAAACACTTAACTATTGCAATCATTTAGTTAAAAGACCACTACCTTGTTTTTATGGTTATGAAAGACAGTGACTCTAGCTTGATTATATATATTTTTTTGTGATTTGGCAACACCGAGGCATACCTCTGAGACTCTAGACAGGAAAATAAATAAATAAAAGCCTTTGGGATGTCTCACGAAATAACACTATAGTATTTCCATTCCATTTTCAACCTCATCACGCTGCACGCGCATCCGTGTTTGGTGCAGGTGCAAGCTTCCTCACACCACGTATCTGCAATACACTTTTATGACCAATAAAAACGAGTACTAACATAAAGACTACGATTTAAAAAGCACACAAGACGTTACCGTTTTCATTACGTTATGAAAGGACACATGTGTATCACTCACAGACTCCAAACGAAAATTCACAATCACCTCACACGACAGTTTCGATTGCTGGCACGACTGAGTCATCGAAATGTCTCGATTCAGTGCGGGTTTCAATCACTCGCTACTTTGTGTAAAAAAGGATCAGCTGCATCAACACACCATGTGAAACGATATTAAGTAGTTTATCACGCTGTCATGAGGGCACTAAGTAGAAGGGAGAGGGAGAGAGAAAAATCCCTGATCCATAAACGCCACTGTAACAGAAATGCAGCAGGAAATGTTCATTGTGCTCTTAGCGGCATCTAGAGGTCACAAGTAGAATACTTATTACACAAACTAACGCACGTAACCCAATACACGATGTGCAGGAGATAAATTGAAGTAAGGGTGCTTACCTTTGTACTTTTTTGTTCTTTCACAGACAGCTAAGCAATTTCGCCATCTGGTTGCATCATCTATGTAGGTTTCTGGTTGCACAGATGCTGAAATGCAGAAAAACAGAACTATACGGAATTATTTAGAGGGCAGTTTAGAGGAGGCAACAAACATTTTATATGTACTACTTTTATCTTTTTCATTAATGATCGTCAAAAACATACCCGCGAAGCTCTGTTTTGTATATCAATCTTGGCAGGAATTGCTCAAAGTGTTGGAGCAAATTTTAATTAAGCACCTCATATTTATTTACTTCAAATATTATAATTTGGATGTCTACAGAAAACTGTGTATACTACTACTACTACTACTACTACTACTACTACTACTACTACTACTAATAATAATAATAATAATAATAATAATAATAATAATTATTATTATTATTATTATTATTATTATTATTATTATTATATTTGCGACTATTTGAAAAAAAAAAAGAAATTCGAGGGTTCAAATAAAATATAAGCATTCACAAAATGTCTTAATGGAAGATGATTATTACTTAATATTCTGATTAATTCTAGCATAAAAAAAATCTAAAGTTAAGAAAAAGAAAAGCTTTTTAACCCAAAAGTTGTATAATCATTCATTCAATGTATTTTTTGGCTATTAGGCAAAATATACCTGTGCAACTTTAAACTGGTTTAGTCACATTTTGTTCCTGTGTGTTAAAAAAAGAAGGGAGAGAAAGAGAGAGATAGGGTCCATAAAAAATTAATTCCATTTCACATTTAATTTAATTCCAAATTAAATGGGACAAATTCAAAATTACAATTATTATTACATGCAAAAAGCATGAAGTAGACAAAATCAGCTTTTTTTATATTTTAACTTAAAATAAATATTTACACAATCCCTTTCAGTCTGCAGTGCCCTTTTTGTTACTCTCTCTTCTTAAGTTGCATCTAAACTCATATTTAGACATATACTGACTTTCTTTTCAGCTTAGTCCCTTATTAATCTGGGGTCCCCATAGCGGAATGAACCGCCAACTCATCCAGCATGTTTTACGCAGCGGATGCCCTTCCAGCTGCAACCCATCTCTGGGAAACATCCATACACACTCATTCACACAAATACACAACGAACAATTTAGCCATGTCTTTGGACTGAGGGGGAAACCGGAGCACCTGGAGGAAACCCATCCGAATACTTGGAGAACATGCAAACTCCACACAGAAACGGCAACTGATTCAGCTGAGGCTAGAACCAGCAATCTTCTTACTGTGAGGCAACAGCAGTACCTACTGTACCACCGCGTCGCCCTTTAGACATATATGCAGACCATAAAAAAGCTTGGTTTCCAATATTCTTCAAAATATATTTAATTTTGTATTCTGGAAATTACACAGACAACACCAATGTGAGTAAAAGAGATTACACGATTTTCATTTTTATAATTATTTTATATTTTATTGACCATATTTGTTTATATGAGGATTTCAAATGACTTTGTTTACTGAAATAAACCTCTAAATGAAAACTGGCTGTTGGTGGCATAAATGCCTAATGAGCAAGTCCTTGACTCATTTACAGTATTCATTTGACTAGTTCAAATAACCGATTCATTCAGAAATATAGTTAACAGCTTACATTGAAAAAAAAAAATCTAAATATGTGGTTCATGTTTACTGGACTGCATCAAAAGTCTTGCTTTTGTGATATTGATATGACATAGAGTGTACTCACACTAGGCTATTTAAATAATGCACAGAACAGTTGGTCTGTCCTGGCCCAGTTGGATAAGGTGGTTTAGAGCGTGTTTCGGTTGGACTCGGGCATTCTATGCTTGTAGTATGAATGCAAAGAAAGACTGAAGTTGAAATGTCATGTTTAATTTCATATGGATTTATTACTCATTTGTACTTTCCATTAAACACAAACTGTAAGTTTATCAAAGATGCTTGCACTTCAGTTGCCAACTTCATCAAACCTTCTAATACTGCAACACAATTAGTTTTTCTAAAATAGTTTTTTGAGCGTCAAAAGCAGTGGATCTGTTTATTCGTATGTCAAATGACTCAAAATAATGCAAAACAATACAACTGAGCAAGAGTGCTTTTCTTTCTGTTAAATTGAACAGACGCATTATTGATGATGTGAGCATGCTTAGGCTCGGAAGGTAAAAATGCAGTGTAAGTGTGGGTCATCAACGGAGTGGGGATCTTGCCCAGGCTTGGTTCAAAGCCACCTTTCCAGGTGTGAGTACATTCAAAAACTCATTTGAGGCATTTATGCACCATGAATATAAAGGACATATAACTGTGTTCTAGCGGCTTCATCATGTTAGTCTTTACACTGCTTCATGTTCTTCACTAGTAAAATGAATGTAATGTGATATGCAAAAGTCCATAACTAATTCATTATATCAACTCTATAAACTTACAGCTAATGGTGGCCAGTGCTTGATAGAGTTGGCACATGTTGTTACTTTCTGTTTGGTTAAAGTGTTGCAGCCTGTTCCATTCTGAAGGGCTCATCCCTATATTCCAGGGGTCCCTAAACCCTGGGTTGTGTTGCTACAAGATCAAAAGAAAACAAAATTACTCTATTTGTAATCCTACATTATTGTTAGATACCCTTTAGGAACTATATCCATGTGTATACAGGAGCACACCAGATGCAAAGTGCTGTGTTGCGTCTTTCTAGAATTGGAACCATTGTTTTTATGGAGGTTATAAAACACAGAAAATAATGTAAAGACGGGCACCACACCACACTTATGCCGAGTTCAGACTGCATGATTTTCAAAGTTGTGTCACAGATGTTTTCACACTGCATGACTAGCTGGGCTAGCGTTTTGTCGCTGCTTTGTTTACACTGCAAGATGGATCGGGCCAGGGGCTTTCACATTGCATGACTTTACAATACAAAGAATCGCTGACAACTTTGTCAAAACTACATCTCACAACCAAAAACACGTAGTAAGTCTCTTGTTATTAACTACATAACGAGAAAGAAGCCTTTGGGGTAGAAAATGTACATATTTTCTCACCTGGGTTTGAAGGGAATTAGCAATTTCTCCTCAACTTTCTTTTTTGACCCAGTTGTGATACTGCTCACATGACACGTCAAACAGACACGGG